CAGCTTTTCACCCACCAGGACCCCCAAGTCCTTCGCGGCAGGGCTGCTCTCAATCCATTCTCCACCCAGCTGGTATTTGTGCTTGGGATTTCCCCAAGCCATGTGCAGGACCCTGCATTTGGCCTTGTTGAACCTCGTGAGGTTCACACGGGCCCATTCCTCGAGCTTGTCCAGGTCCCTCTGGATGGCATCCCGTCCCTCAGGCGTGTCAACTGCACCACTCAGCTTGGTGTGATCGGCAAACTTGCTGAGGGTGCACTCAATCCCACTGTCTGTGTCACAGACAAAGATGTTAACTATAGAAAAAAGCAGATAAAGCAACAGTGTTTTGGGGATAGACAGCAGCTTTTAACCCTGGAAACATGTTGCACTAGCCCCCATAATCTGTTTTGAAATTAAGACCCAAGTGCTGCTGTAGCAAGACAAATGGAGGATTCAGAGGGAAAATTCAAGTCAAATGCCTCTGTAGACATCGAAATCGGTGTCTGTGGAACAACCTCCTGCAGAGGCTCTGTGGGATTGTTCTTATGGATACTCCTGTGGCTTTTCGAAGGGTGCCTGAACTTAGATTCCTGTCACCGCGCTGCAGGTGTGGTGCCTGTCTTTACCTTTAAGCCATGAAATACAATATGCTCTTTGTTAAAAGAGAAGCTGATGCTTTTTTAGATGCCTGCTTATAAGAGTTAGCAGCGATATATAGAGTTTCTTTTATTTAAGTGTTTATCTTTCATGTCTAGAGGTGTGGACAGGACAAGAAATGAAAAGCATGGATGAAAAGTAGTGTCTCCTCTATTGCAAATCTGTTGGAATGGGAAACGTCTGAGGGGAGACTGGCAGCATCTCCTCTAATGTCTGAATTATTTTTATCTCTGACGAACAATAACATAGTTTCATTAGTAACGATGCTGCGCTCTCTGGATTGCTCTTTGCTTACCATATTCTCTTTCTCTTTATATCTGCACAAAACGCTTCCTTGATGCTCCTTGCGATACAGCAACAGAGTGCTATGCAAATAAACATTTTACACCGAGTGAAATATTTTATTTATGCATGAATGAACTTCCCCCCCTTCAGATTTTCCTTATGACTACTGTATAAACTAAGAAAGAGTACACTGAACAGACATTTTGTATTTCAAAGCTTCTTCTTTGTATGGGTGATTTGCTAGGGTCGAACGTTTGTGAAGTGAACTTTGGTAATGATACGGCATTTTGTATTTAGAAATCCATTACAATGTGTGTTGACTGAAACTCTCCCGTCAGTGCCTGCTGTTTATCCTAGCCCTGTGAATCACAGAATCATTAAGGTTGGAAAAGACCTTTAAGAACATCAAGTCCAACCATCAACCCAACACCACCATGCCCAATAAACCATGTCCCCAAGTGCCACGTCTACACGTTTTTGGAACACTTCCAGTGATGGTGACTCCACCACCTCCCTGGGCAGCCTGTTCCAATGCTTGACTGCTCTCTCAGTTAAGACATTTTTCCTAATATCTAGTCTAAAATCTTTAGTTTGATACCACTCTCAAAACCCTGGGAAAGACCCATATCAGATTTCAGTTAAAATGTATAATACTATGCTGGAAACAGATACATCTGGCATTGCAGATGAACTGAGCAGTCACTGAGCAGAAGCTTTTGAAACCAAGACTGTTATGTTTCCTTCGGGAATAGGACTGATCTTATGGAATTTTAAATGTGCAGTCTGGAACCCAGTGCACACAGCTACACAGAGAGCTGGCACGTACAGAAATATAAGATCTTGTGACCTTTCAAGGGTTCAAAAATCTTTCGTTTCGCAGTATCAAAAGAGCATGTGCTCATTGATCCAGTTTCTACTGCTTAAAAACTATTTTTCTACCTTTTTTAATGCTTTATCTCCATTGTCTACCTATAATTGTTTAGAAATAACACAAGGTCAGAAAATTAACTCTTAAATTATATATCATATACTTAACTATAATGGTATAGATAAAGTGCTAAATGTTTATGTTATTGTATATTTTTCATATGTTTCTTTCGCAAGATTTAAGAGGCTTGCTTTATAAAGAAGCTAAAAGTCTCAGGATGTGTCTACATTAGCATTTTAGTTAGATTGGGGTCCCACTCCTGAAGCAGTTGCCCCCACTTGCTAGGCTGTAGATTGTGTTGTGGACCAGAGTTGGAGTGCAAGAACGAGACTGCTTTAGGAAGATGCAGTGCAGGGCTTGCCTTAAGGTAAGGGCTTACCCTTGCTATGGTCTTGCTCCTACTGCATGTTTAGTCTTTGGGGCTATACTGGAGTGAATGGGGCAATAACCTCCCTTGAAGCAGGTATGGGCTTCAGCACCAACTGTTGGGGCTTTTTGCTAATGTCAACTCAGCTAAGTCCTGTGAGGACCATGGGCTTTCATCTCCATGAGGAAAAAAACAAAAACCCGTGCTTCATGATGAGGCTCAGGATCTTCTCTTTGTTTGGTGCGATCACATGCGTGTTATCTCGCATTCTGTATTTGTGTGATTTCACACAACATCGAGTAGACTTCTGTGGGATTACGGAGCACCTGCACACTGTCATTACTGATCCGTTGTTGTTACTGTCACGAACAAATCCTCACAGCAGGCTTAACTTAGAGCTGTTCACGTGCTTTTAGCTGCAGAAAAAATACGATTAAAAATGCTTTTCGCTGAGTTTACACCAGCACTGGGCAAGCTGCAGTCTCTAAAGATACCTTCAATTTTCTTACAGCAATAGGGAAAGGGATTTTTGGCTGACGATTTAGATCAAATTACCTTATGTCCTCCACTTTAGCTGTTTGTTCTGCAGAAGCAGAACTATTCAAGAGCAAAAAGGTTAACACTTAGGTGGCTAAATACCTGATCTTGCAGATACAGCAGGTAATTAAACACTGGGCTTCCTGATGTCTGGGGTGAGTGTGCAAACACCAGCCTGCCTGTGGGTGTACAGAAATTGGCTATGAACCATTAACTACAAAGTAAGTGTCATCTATATATCCACAATTATAAATATTTTTTTTAAAATCATTCTTAGTATTTCAAAACAACTAGTGTGTAGCCCTAGTAGCACATGTAGTGCTGAGAATCTGTAAGAATGTCCCAATGGGTGTTTTGACAAACTAAAATTAATCATTAAAGGTGTTTGCTTCTAAGTGAAGGTCCTGGCTGAAGGTGTCTCCCAGGGCCTTCACACGAGTATGGGAACACTGAAATGTTGACACACAAGAAGAGGAAACTGTATTCTCTGCCTCTGTGGGATAATGATGCCTGGTCAGTGCCTATTGATTTTCTGTATGATTCCTTTTATTTTTATTTCAAGAGATGATGAGAAGGGGAACAATGAGTTCTCATGCTGTTTTTGAACCAGTATCAGAGTTTACTGCATCACTGCTGAAACCTTACGGACAGCCAAGATTTGTTGGCAATAGGTGACAGATAATTTGCAGAAAAGGTAGGAGAGGAGGTACCCTCCTCTCATGTTTAGAAGAAAACATTCAGCCTGTGGATAGGACAGTGCATCTGGCATTATGTGATACTTCCTTGATGGTGGGATGGGAGATTAAATGAAGGCGCTGTGGGAAGTTGAGACCTCCCACCTGGGAGTGCTTGTGGCCTTGGTTTGTTGTTATAGTCAGTCAGGATTATGATTATTATCAGCATTGTTACAAGTGTACAAGTCTTAATATGGACCCAGACCAAACTGGCTAGTTCTCCTACTTACAGAGGTAGGGCGTGTAAGGCCCCATTGCGTTGAAACGGTTGAGTCTGCAAGTGGAGACCTCTACTACTTCAGCTCTTTACTTTGAGGACCTTTTCGATCCTAGAGGTGAGGGTAAAAGTGAGGTGTAGTGTAGGCTGTAACAATCTGCTTTAGCTTCTCCAGCTGTGCTTTACCCAGTGCTGTTTTACTTGAGCCCGTATATGCACTGAGCTCTTATTTTAGGTTTTACATTATTCTTCAAAGAACTGCCTTTAAAGATTAATTAGGGCAGGGAGGAAGTGAGAGTGTGTGTGCCTGCAAGGGAAAATGTGACTGTGATCCTAGCATTAGAGCACTGACCTGAAAGGAGGGAGAGAGGAAGAAAGGAGAGGTTTGAGAAGCATTCATAGTGGATTCTTTGAAGAGTAAGTATAATTCCTCTGAGAGAGGAATACAGATATAATGTTGTATAGGTGCCTGCTGAAGTACTGTGTAATTACATCATGGGATTAGCAGTCAGGTTCTAGTCATGTAGATGCTAACAGTTGTATCTCATCTGATTTAGCATGGATGCACATCCTGAGCCTTATAAATTGTATTGAAGAAGAAGTACTTGTGTGGTGATTTGCTGTCACCGATACATGCATCGGCTATTTTAGACTGCTGTAACAGGCCTGTTTGAACGAGGAGATTCATTACTGAAGGTCATGGTAGCACCATATCTGCCATGGAGCTGGGGCTGCACCAGTCATCAGCCTCATGTGAGACAGGGATTTGAATCAAACTGAGCTCCCTGTTAGACTGGCATATGCAAGATGAAGTGGGGAGATACAGGCTTCGCTAAATCTAGCTGCAGTTCTCATCATTTGGACTGGAATTTATTCCTACAACTTCCAGAGCAGCCTTTTCTCTAAAACATGCAGAAATAAGTTGTCACTACAGTAATTATATTTTTTCTTATATCTATTCTGAAGCTCACAAAAGTATCAGAAAGATGTAAGGGATTTGAGGGGTGGCAGATTGGGGAGAAAAGATGATAAATCCGAAAATGTTGAAATGGTAAATAACTATTTTGAAGTATTTTCTTCATCTGTGGATTGAGACAAGAAGTAATTTCTTTCCTTTGCAAGCAGAAAAGAGCTTTCAGCATGTGTTCCTAACCTTCAGTTGTTCTCCACGTGAACTATTGTGTATGAAAAGGAAGCATGTTTTTGCTGCGTAGCCCAGATGATTGCATGGGAAACAGCTTGGTTTATGGCCTAATGTTCTTGTGTAATACCTTTTTTATTCCAACAGGAAATATGGGATGTATAAAATCAAAAAGGAAAGAGAATCTGCATGGAGATGGGCTAGATTTGAAGAATCAACCAGTACGTAAAACTGAACGAACTATTTATGTGAGGGATCCAACGTCCAATAAACAGCAAAGGCCAGTAAGTAGATAGTCTCAGGGGAGAATTCCAGTAGCAAGATCAAAGCATGACTGGCATAACTTAAATTTCAATCCAAAGCGCATGCATGAAGAAATTCAAATGATCATTAGTCCACAAATGGTCTTCTACTGTTGTGCAGTTCACCCTCAACGAATAATTACTCAAAGAAATAAAAAATAAAAATTGGCGGTTTGTTACTTAATTGCTTTATGTTTGTCATAGTTTTCTGCATGAAAACAGTAATGCTCGGCAACGCGTGACCTAGATATAGCTACGCCTGCAGAAGAATGCTAGGCGACTTCAGAAAACCTGAAGTAGTTTAGAACCATTTTTAATAGCTATGGGATCCAGGTGTCGATTATTCTATTTAAAACGGCTGAAGTAGTCATGGGCGATTCCTTACCAGCTCTAGTCAACTTCCCTTTTACGCGCTGAAGCCCCCCACTCGACCTTGCAGCCGGTGCGGTGCGTCGGTACGGGCGGGCGGGGAGCGGGGGGTGCAGTGGTGAAGGGAGCCGCGCCGTGCCGCAGGAGGAGCAACCTCATGGCGGTTCCTCCGGTGGAGCACGAGGCGAGTCCTGCCCGGCATTAGAAAGGAAGGGTGCTGGGCGGGGGGATGCCGTCGCGTACCAGGTGGGTTTGCTCTTTTGCAGATCGACTGGTACCTTTTTCCCCCGCCACCCCCCGCGCTGCGCTGAGGAAGCCGTATGTCCTGACTGCCCTAGCCGGGGCCGTGCTCTCTGCGGGTGTGAATGACACCCTTCTCCCCCCGCTCACCAGCGGACTCGGCGTGCTCGCCGTCAACATACACACGTCACAAACTGCCGTTATTTTCATTCTAATTACTCTTTTTTTTTTTTTCTTCTTTCCCTTGCACACTCTTAGCAACATAACCCTGCTTGTCGTTCTTTAGCGTGACAGCTACGTGTTAATAACTGTCCCGTTAAAGAGCCCTGCCTAAAGCCTCTTCAGGAGAAGTCACAAAGCTGTGACATTCCTCCCCACAGCCTGTGTCACACCTTCCCTGAGGATCAATCGAAGCTGCTCAATTCGAAATCTAGCAGGGACTTACTATATTTTTATGTTGTAGTTCGCTTTTGAAGAGCGTTTTTGGAAAAGGTTGGAGCATTTCCTTTTAACTTACGACATATAAGATGATACCAAAGCAACTGAATAATACGTAATGTAAGATTGTCACAAAGATCTAAAACTGCTTAATTAAGGACATATTTTGTTGTAGGCAAATCCAGAAGCACAGCTCTTACCAGGACAGAGGTTTGTCAGCGAAGGTACGTTCTCATAGGAATCTCACTACTGTGTGCTATGTTCACGTCAGCCTGTGAAATAACGCAAACGTGCCTTTGGCTTTCTACCTTTGTAGACACAGAGGAGCATGGAGTCATTGTGGTAGCTTTGTATCCCTATGATGGCATTCATGAAGATGACTTGTCCTTCAAAAAAGGAGAAAAATTGAAAGTTATTGAGGAGTAAGTATGACAATACTGATCGTGTTGTAGTTTTTCTTTAGACTCATCTAATTCCCTTTATAATTTTTTGAAATCCTACTCATAACATGAGCGTATTAATGGTGAGACAGCTCCCTTATATGCAAAAATACAAATGTATGTGGAGCTGTTGGTAGGACTTGGCAGCTGCCCGTGGTAACAGCGACCAAACATTGATCCAGTGGAGCCAGTGGTTTCTCAGGGGGCCTGAGTTCAGAGAAGAGATGATGCTTCTCTCACCAGCATGGGCAAATCTCTCAGCACAGTAGAACCCAAGTAACACTTTATAATTTTCCTTTCCTGTGGGTACTACTGTTGTTCCTGTTTTTCAGGCTGGGAGAATGGTGGAGAGCAAAATCTCTCACAACAAGGAAGGAAGGCTTCATTCCCAGCAACTACGTAGCAAAAGTAAACACCTTGGAAACAGAAGAGTAAGTTCTCCCAGGCTCTAAGTTCTGGCAAACTTCTTCACTCTGGTGGTGTATCCTTTGTGGGTGGGGGAGAGAAAGGGTTCCAACTCTTTGAAATATTTTTCAGATGGTTCTTCAAAGACATAACCCGAAAAGATGCCGAAAGACAACTCCTGGCTCCTGGAAATAGCCCTGGAGCTTTCCTTATCAGGGAAAGTGAAACATTAAAAGGTAGGCTTTGGGGCGGGTTACGTTGGAATTGATAGTAGAGTTAAAAACATACAGTCTGTCTTCACAAAAGTTGGCACCAGGTGGCACTGGGTGTGGAATAGTCCTAGTGTGTCCTATTGTGTGGATTTTCTGCAGTTCTGCAGGAGTGAGAAGGATGAGAAAATCACCAGAAAAAGAGAGAATAGATTAACACCCAAAGTTGAGACAGGAAAAAAAATGTGTGTGTGTGATGCAGGAATGAATGGAGAGATCTTTTCCCTGCCTAACATTTGCAATTCCTTTACTGAAGGACACTTTTCATTATAAACAGTAGATGCTGCATTTTATAGTCTTCCATTATTGGGTCTGTATCCATTGCTACAAGTTTTAAAATATAGTTAGTGCATAATGAGGGTTTACACTTCTGCACTGTAGTGTGATTTCCACCACCCCCCCCCCCCCAAAAAAGCTTTTTGTAAAGGTTTCTGCTGTAGACAGAGCTCTTTTGTGTTGAAAAGCTTAGTTAAGTCTCCAGGCTCTTTGGCTGGGACTTTCAGAAAATCATAGGAGGTTCTGCCCCAGCATCTGGACACTGACAGCAGCCTGAATTGGATTCTCCACCTGGATATTTTAACATTGCATCCTCCAGAGGAAGGTGCATGAATCCCTTCAGTGGATTGTATGTCTATCCTCTCCTTGGGGGTACTTTTCCTGGCCCTAAGACTGCAGATTCTTGATTAGGTAGCTCACTGTAATGGACCCATATCGCTGTTTCTGTGCTCTGCAATGAAGAGAGAGATCTAAATTCAACATAGACTGCTGGCAGTAAGGCAAAGTACCCCCAAAATCTTTCTGTCATTGCATCTGTGTGTGGGGACAGAGAAGGGGCTGAGGTGGTTTCTTAGCCTTGAAAATGGACAACAAGAGTTGCCTAAGTGGAAGCATGGAAAGCTCTGTAGCTTAGTATAGATACTCTGCTGCCCCGTCTTAAATCCCAGCTGGTGTTAGGCTCCCCAGGACTACCACATCTCCCCTCCCTCCCGTGTGCCTGAAGCCCTCTCCAAGCTATCCTTTTGCTAGTTGGCCCGTGACATCCAGCGTGTTCCTTTTCCGAAATGCTGATCTCTGAATTTCAGCTTCTGCCCGTGGGATGTGACAGCCCTGGCCCTGCTTTCCCAGCCGGTCCCACTCCAGCCGGGGGACTTTCTGCAGAAGTGGGTGTTGGACATGGGCTGTCTGGCTTACGGAACTCCTAACTTTGTTGAGTAAGACTGAAAAAGAAAGTGTGACTGTAAGCATTTTGGTGACCAGTTCAGGACCAGCTATTGGCTAACTTCCTCATGTTGATTGCAAAATACTTTTTGAGGAAATAAGGGAGCAAAGAGAAAAACAGACAAAAAAGGTGATTTTGTTAGGCTCAACTGTGTATGCTTGGACACTGTAGACTTTTGCTGTCTGTTAATGACCATTCTTTCTTTATCCACAGGCAGCTATTCTCTCTCCATAAGAGACTATGATCCACAGCATGGCGATGTTATTAAGCACTACAAAATTAGGAGTCTAGACAATGGAGGATTTTACATCTCTCCAAGAATAACTTTTCCCAACATCAATGATATGATCAAACATTATCAAAGTAAGTTAAATCAGTTAGTGGATTACTTAATAGAATACAGCCATTATTTCCTGTGAAGGAAAATAAATGCTTTCTTGTTTTGTTTCAAACCTTTTCATCTTTTTTTTTTTCTTCCCCTAAATAACCCAGGCATGCATGTTATCAAAGATAAAGTAAAACGGGTTGGAACTCAAGTAACGTTGTTATCAAACTCAGACCTAATGCTGCTTGCTCTGTGGCATACCATTGTGAAATAAAGAATAGCTTTATAAAACACCGCATCAAAGTTATGGTCATGTGAAACTACAGTAAAGATTGACTGCATTGTAAATAAATAAATGCTGTATTTGAAAATAAATTTGTATTCACAATTAGCAGAAATATGTATAGACTTGTGAATGTCATCTTGAGGTATTGAGTGTGGGGTTTTTTCCCCTTTAAAATAATTTGTTTGTTTATCATGAATGGCATTTTGAAGGAAGTAAAAGTCCATTGACTTCAAAGAAAGAAAATTGCACCCACATGGAATGTATACAGTTATTATTAAAAAAAAAAAAAAAAGTGGGGGGAATGGACAAATTTCTACCTATGTTTTAGCTACAAAGTGACTTTTCATTCTTCATAACCTCCCGGTCAAAATATGTGGGTTTTGGTCTTGTAACTGGGAAGACAAAGAAGATGAAAAATGTAGGACAGAAAATCACATTGTGATTTTTCAAAGCCACACTCAGGATTTGGCCATGAGATTTCTCTGAGTTGTTAGACATGTATGGTAATTCTTTGACACAGCTGGAAAACCTGAAAATTATTTTACATTTTTATTAAAATTGTAGCTGGTCAGTGTCCGGAGAAAAGAAATAATGGTGACCTACTTATGCTTGCATGCACATGTATCTGAAACAAGAAAATTTAATGACAAATTCCAGAATACAGGTTCCAAGCCCAACTCCTGTGTGCATTTTCATCAACATACTGTCAGTAAGCGGATCTTATATTATATTTAGGTGGTATGAATTGTACTAAAAAAACTTTATAATCTGATGGTAACTAGATGCATGTGACACTTCTTTATTAAATTTGTATCTGAATACCCAGTTTTAGTTCAGAGGTGCTTAAAGTTACATGAAAACACCAGAAAGGTTAATTTTTATAAAAACACCTGATATTTTGAAAATTATTTTGAGCTGGTTAGTGCACACCTGTAATTGAGTAATGTTTGTCTCAAGTCGTGAGGCACAGAAGTGTAATGAATTTTGTATTTTGTTTTTCCTTTGAAAACCAGAGCAATCAGATGGCTTATGCAGAAAGTTGGAAAAAGCTTGTATTAGTCCCAAGCCTCAAAAACCATGGGATAAAGATGCATGGGAAATTCCACGGGAATCAATTAAATTAGTGAAGAAACTTGGAGCTGGTCAGTTTGGAGAAGTCTGGATGGGTACGTTTATTCCTTTGGAAAATGCGTTTAAATCTGCTGAAAGAAATGTCATTTCAGGGTCATTCAGAATAATAGTGGACATGAACCTGGTCCAATATACTTGTAAAACAGCACAGTCAGGCTCAGAATATACCTTCTTGTGAGGAGAGGGGATTTGCAAGGGGGAAGATATCAGATAACATGGAATAAATCCTTTGGTGTCTTTTAACGGGGGAAAAAAAAAAGTAGTGAGTAAGCACTGTAATTTAGAGGGTTGAAGACAATAAGGGTTTTTTTGGTCGTGTTTTGTGGGGGAAGTAGAAGCTTATAGGAAGATGTGACTCTTGGTCCTCAAAATCAGTCGGCATCTCAGAAGTTTGCTTCGAATGAGCAAGTGGTAAAGAACCTGAAATAGAAAGAAATCGTGTCTTTTAGTGAATTATGTATAGAGTTTTCATTGTCTCTTGGTAAAGAAACTGCAATATAATGCATGGGACTGCCTTACAGGGTGAAAATCAGGGACACTTAATCCAAGATTGTTGCCTGCTGCTGAGAAAGTAGGTGACTTATGTAGTAAGATTAGAGATTGATCACCCCCTACCTTGAACTATCGTGCAGGTCCCCAGTAATGAAAGTGTCATAAGACTTACAAGGTGTAAATGTTAATATATACCCAGAAAAAAATGATAGTATTCATTATTATAACCATAATTAGCTTTGCTTGTAAACAATCTTATTTTCTCAGCCGCAGTGACTTCCTGTGGTGAGGGGCTATGACCACTATCTAATCACATTCTGCAAAAATATTTAATGCTCTTGCTTTTGAAATGCTGTCTATTCAGGGATCTGAGTATTCTTTTGGGCTACATATTGCATGCTCTGTGTGCTGTCCATTACTTACTAAAAACAAGTAAGTTTTTACTTATTTGAGGTAAACTATACCTTTTTCCCAAAGTCTTCATTACAGTGTTTTTTCAGGCCAGATCATTATCTAAACCATTCCCTGAATCTCCTTTTTGGTTATTTTTATGTAGTTATATTTAAATAGTAATATATTTAGGTTATATTTGTATTTAAGTAGTGAAAAATTATTATAATAATAGAACGTTGGGGGTTTTGTTTGTTGTTCTTTTTTTTAACAAGATTCTATATGCAGGGCATTTCTGAGCAACTTAAAAGCGTATGCCAAAACTTATTAGAAGACACAAAGCTATGAAGGGGTCTCTGATGACCCACGGGAGCGTGGCAGGCTAAGGGGAATGTCATTTCTTTGAAGAGATGCTCTCATTTGGAAAGTAAAGCACAGAGTGGTGCTGTGTGAGGGGCAAATTCCACACACAACCACAGTCTCAATCAGAAAGCTCTAATTCAGCCATAGGTGCAATCTTTTGATGTAAATCGTGTAAAAAAATGCAAGCAACGCATCTCTATAATATAATATGGCCAAATCCAGCCTTTCACAGGTCTTCACGAGAAAAGGCTTAAGAAACCCTCTAGCTATGATATGCGTGAGTGACAATTTACATTCTAGTTAAGGCAAACGTCAGCCATTGTGCAGGTTTTTTTTGTCTAATAAACCAGGGCAAGAAATGTTTAACTGACACTGAAACGCTATGAGAGACTTTGTGGCAGAAGGTAATCACCTGCTTGAAAATGTAGATCATTTTGGGAAGCGACTACTTCTGCACACAGACACACAAAGGCATAAAACTTTAAAAGGGTGTTTCTGGTTCAAGAGGTTTCCTCTTGTTTGTGTCATTATTTTAACATCTAAATTGGGTCTAAGCCCTGCATCTGAATTGCTGCACTGTGAGAAAAATTAACGTACTGTGAAAGCGCTCGCTGCGTTTCCTCTTCTGCGCTTCCTTTCTGAAGAGAAGCTGATTTGCATGGGGCAGGTCCTCTCGAATCAGGAGCGTGGTGAAGCTCAGAACCAAGGAAGCTCAGGCTGGAAAAGACGTATTAGGTCAGCCGTGCAGCGCGGGATATCAACAAACACCGTGCGTTGTAATGATCAACCAGGGGCATCAGGAGTTATGTAGAGGTGCTGAGAAATAACCTAGTTGTTACGCTTTCCTGATTAGAGAGGTAGTTGTTACGCTCTCTCCTTGTCTAGAACAAAATTATTTTTCAGCCATAGTGTGAATTAGAGAGAAATATTGTTCCATGGTTTAATTACTAAATAAGTTTCTTCTTGATAAAGGGTACTCAGAATTGTGGTTTCAGAGGGAACAGTGTCCCACTCAGAGGAACTGGGTCCCCAGTAAGCAGAGATACAGAGCTACTGGAGAGAGTCCAGCGAAGGGCCACGAAGATGATTAAGGGGCTGGAGCATCTCTCCTGTGAGGGCAGGCTGAGAGAGCTGGGACTACTCAGCCTGGAGAAGAGCAGGCTCGGGGGATCTCATCAACGTATATAAATACCTGAAGGGAGGGTGCAAAGAGGACAGAGCCAGGCGCTTCCCGGTGGTGCCTAGTGACAGAACCAGAGGCAATGGGCACACACTGAAACACAGGAGGTTCCCTCTGAACATCAGGAAACTCTCTTTCACTCTGTGAGTGACCGAGCACTGGCACAGGTTGCCCAGAGAGGTTTTGGTGTCTTCATCCCTGGAGATATTCAAAAGCCAACTGGATGCAGTCCTGGACAACTGGCTCTAGGTGGCCCTGCTTGATCAAGGGGGTTGGACCAGATACCCTCCAGAGGTCACTTCCAACCTCAACCCTTCTGTGGTTCTGTGCTATATGGGAAGATAGAGATAATCCTGTTGCTGTAATGTGAAGATATGCCAGCGTATCTTTTATAGTATTTTCTTTTTAGTTTGTCCATTAAGTACTCTTTGGGCTTCCAAGTTGACATCTTCCTCTTGCACATTTTGGAGGGAGTTAGCTTATGTTAGGGGAGGACTAAGAAAACCCTAAGAACAAAAAGCAGACCCCCATATCCCCTTGGCTGTGGGGGTTTGCTTTTTGTGCAGACCCCCACATCCCACACTTGGCTGTGCTCATGTGTGACCTGTGCAGAATTTCTTTGTCACTTATGAAGCTGGCAGGTGAATCTTCTCCAACTCTGAAGAGTTTCTTTTACACGGAGAAAACTTGCTCTAAAGGACCATCAATTTCCTAGTTTTGTCTATCACTGCAAGTGCATTTAGTTTCTTTCTTCATTGCTGGGTCTCAGGGAAAAGAGGAAAGTTTATCACCTTTGGAAGAAAGGGAAGGCAACTAAAGAAGAGTACAAGGATCTTGTTAGGTCAACCAGAGATAAAATTAGAAAGGCAAAAGCCCAGCTAGAGCTCAATCTGGCCACGGTCATAAAGGATAACAAAAAATGCTTTTACAAATATATTAACAACAAAAAGAGAGGCAAGGAGAATCTCCATCCCTTACTGGATTTGGGGGGGGAACATTGTCACCAAGGGTGAGGACAAGGCTGAGGTACTCAATGCCTTCTTTGCCTCAGTCTTTAATAGCCAGACCAGCTATCCTCAGGGTCTTCAGCCCCCTGAGCTGGAAGATGGGGATGGAGAGCACAATAAACTCCTCATAATCCAGCAGGAAGCAGTTAAGGACCTGCTAAGCCCACAAGTCTATGAGGCCTGATGGGATCCACCCAAGAGTACTGAGAGAGCTGGTGGAGGAGCTTGCCAAGCCACTCTCCGTCATTTATCAGCAGTCCTCGTTAACAGGGGAGGTCCCAGATGGCTGGAGGCTTGCCAATGTGACACCCACCCACAGGAAGGGCCGGAAGGAGGATCCCGGGAGCTACAGGCCTGCCAGCCTGACATCCGTGCGGGGGAAGGTCATGGAGTGGTTCATCTTGAGGGCGCTCACATGGCATGCACAGGACAACCAAGGGATTAGATCCAGCCAGCATGGGTTCATGAAGGTCCTGCTTGACCAACCTG